GGACGTGATAAAATCTTGCAGTGAAGACCATTTAAGTTCATAAAAAACTAGAAACTTCTTTAAGCCATTTGTACTTCTCGCCGTATTTTATTCGGGTATATTTCACGGTTATGCTATTGTTGATTAAATTTGACATGTACACAAAATAAAGGAATATTTTGGAGTAATTTTGCTTTGGGGGGGGGGGGGGGAGAAAAGAGGAATACAACGCGCAGGCCAGTCCATAAATGAATGAAGACTTCAGTTTGGATAACCATAATGAAAATGGCCTTTTTTCGGGACGGATGTTTTTATGAGAACTTGTAAATGTCAACACTGCATCGGTCCATGACTGTTTCTCTGTTGCACGAGTCAAGGACAATGCTTTTACCTGATGTGTAAAAAAGGCCTACAAATCGAGGCAGGCTGTAACAAAAATAATGTTTATTTTTAAAATCAATTCCATTATTTCCATGAAACGTGGTTTAAAGACGAGTGTAAAAAAACTCGCTGACCTCAAGCAGTCGGAAGTAGAGTTCTTTCGTTGGTCATATAATCACTGAAGGTCCACACCTAAACTACAAGGTTGACTTTCCGCTTAGCGCTTTTCTTGAGAAGAATCGGCTGGAGACGAGTCTAGTTCGACCAATAATCGATTAACAATGTAATACCTGGCTATATAACTGTCGACCAACAATGTAATTGAATAACTCAAGTATACAGTAATCGAACAGGAACCCAACAAAGGAATTTAATGTCTCGACTAGAAAACAGTGGAATCGAAATGTAACTTGGTTATAACTTATATAATCCTATCGATTTTTAAGGATTTTATCCTGGTTAATGATTTTAGTGGATTCAAATCGATTGACTGAATCAAATGATAATCATCTGTTATGTTTTGTAATAAGGATCTAATAAGAAGCCAAGGCGCGAAAGCGGGAAGTAGCACCAATGAGAAAATAGACGTTAGTGTCCTAATGTGAATGTCATAGATGTGAAATATGTAGCTTAATTATCTCCTTATAGCTCATATACTGTTACACAACAGCTTCAAGAGAGGACTAGACCTACCGAATCAGGGACGCGGAACAGATGTGACGGAAATTGTAAAACCAGTTAACAATCCCCTCTTCAATTTACTGTTCTGTATGTAGGCCCATGTGTGGCAGGTTAATGACTCTTATGTAAGTAAATATTGATGAACTTCATGACATAACAGCCACATTTTATCTTTTCCTCTTTCCTTGTAGTCTTCTTATCGAGTAGTTGGAGGAGAGGTAATGTTTCGGGGTGTACGCGGTTTGATTCTCGACCGGATTACCGGTATTTCTTCGTTTTTCCTGGCTAATTCTGGTGCAGTGCCTTGAAGTAGGGCATGCTGCCCCCTCCTTTCTTCAACTCACTATTTATGAGCATTGAAAATCACCGGTCTGTTCTGACTCAGAATTCCTGGGCGGAGCGGCCGGGGCTTGATTCCCAGCAGGGGAGGATTTCTCTCTTCGCTACAACTCAACAGACTGACAATGGACCCATCCAGCGCCCTGCCCAATTTGTACCAGTGGCTCCTTTGATTGAAATAAAACTGCTTGACCGTGAAACTGGCCACCCTTATTTAATTCTGATGTGCAAAATACTTGGGGCTTTAGCTTTACTCTTTGTGTATGTCGTCATGGCCTGACACGTAAAAGGGAAATATCACGCATGTTCATGAGAAATTAGGAAACCGAACGGCATTTATCATCATATGACAACGCAAGTAGGCTGTTTTATGTCCACCACAGAGGGATTTATGCATGTAATCATAGTGTTTCAGCGATTGTGGTTGGGAAATTTATCATGAAGAAAGGACATTGTGATTCCCATATGGGAGTCTGGTTCCAGTGCAGGCTGCCAGTAATAGAATTATCCTGATAAGACCTATAATCACTTTAATACTAATTTAAAAGCCAAGCTCTTCTATAATCAATAGTAACAATTTATTCCAATAAATGCCAGATAAATAAGACCAACAAAATAATTATACACATCGTGTCACGCCATTATCATAAAGAACTTAAACTTCCCTTAGAACATTGAAGATGGCTATTTTCTGTTTCTTTACACTGTAAAGTCTGGTAGAGATTTACCGACGTTTGAGAGGTGCTTGCTGCCACCATCATCAAGGCATAGGCGCAACATCCCAGTAAACATCTTCCTTCCCTGGGGATAAGATGGCCGGGGGCGTGAAGCTGATTACTAATCTGTAACTGGTGCTGAAGTTAAGAATGCATTCGCCTCATACATTTTCATGTCATGGTGCTTAATTAACACAGTGACAGTTTTGCCTTTGCCTTCCTCATTCCATGAGATAATCTTGACATAGCTGTGATTTTCTGCCACTTACAATCTTAGAGATAATTCTGAATGTACATCATACACATTGCCAACAATGGCATCTATGCACTTCAATTTATTCAACTAAACATGTAGATTACAATCTGTTCAAAAAAAAAATGAATGTACGCATATTTAGTGTAGGAAATAAAAGGACGTTATATTTGATCTGTTAAGAGATTTTGTTATTCCCATGAAACACGCTAAATTGGTCATTGAATGGCGATGACGAGGTCAGTGAGACCGCTGAGGAGATTGTCGATCGCGTTCCCCAGGCACGGTTTCAGTTTTTGTGTTCCATTCGCTGTGTTTGTGTTCAGCCAATAACAAATGTCTAGTAGCATAACAAAACCCCTCTCTCACCTGACGTCATCCAGGGTCAGTGGAACGTAATTTCTTTTTCTGAATTATAACAATGGACTACTTCGCTGACATCGCAATAATTTTATTATCTGATTACTGAAGATGTCTTTTGGAAACGAATATGGCATGACAATCGTAATGTGGTTTGCCCATAATAGACTTTATCTTTCACCAAAGTTACCAACTTGTTTGGCCAATATTTCTAGCATTAGAATATAATTTTATCAAGGAGAAATTCTTTTTCTTCCAAGACAGATTTACGTTAAATGCATGTAATAAAAAACTATAAACCATGAGTTATAACTATGCTGAGATTTATTTAACTTGAAATAGTTTGTCATGGTTAAACCTCTCTACAATTTGATTGCCTCACTTTTTTTGTCTTCGTGGCTGTTGGGCTCAACACTTCAGCGCAATTGAAGAACACCTTATGGGCTTGTCCCTGTCTGTCGCTTCTCTCAGAATTGTTATACCTTGTACACATTGTTTCAACAGTGACCTTTTATCACATTGTTGCCTTTGATACCACTGATGCGTTTGTTACTCCCTTCGTTACCATTCCGACGTAATTGCCCGTGATGTTGCGTAAGAAACACTTTCCGAATTTTTGGGTACTTCAATGAGCACGCCTTTCCAGTTTTGTTTGTATTGAAGTTGGACAGCAAATGGGAAATTGTATTTGTTTGGAGTATACAGGGTATCCATCCGCCGTTTGGGATTTCGTACATTTTTTCATTGTAAATACAAATGCAGTATATTTTTGACAAAGACAAATAACAGAAGAGTTAAATTTATGGTAGAAGATAGTAGCGGTGTGGACACAGGATGACGAAAAACAGAGGCAGCAGAAATCAGAACTTTCAAGACCCTTATATGAATATGCATGGTTACAGAAAAAGAAATGTGTGAAAAATTGTCTGTAACGTAGTTGAAGTTACTATTCATAGGAAGAAATGAAAACAACCATGTACATACATACAATTAGGAAATTAAATTTTGATCTTGTATTAGAACATTAAGCCACGGTGGTCTAGCGGTTAGAACGCTGGCCTTGCCTTGTAATCCTGGGGGTCTCGGGTTCGAATCCCGGCGGTGCCCGAATTTATAACTTGTGTTGTGGTCTAGGCAACACGGGAGTTTTCCTCCGGGGGCTTCCCCGGTTTGTCCGTGGCATCCCAACAATTACTCCATTCACACACAGAAGAAGGCAATGGCAAACCACTTCTGGATCATCTGCCAAGAACGTATATGAACAGGTCCCAGTCCGAGAAAAGGATGGAAGGATCCTGTTCATATGGACCTGTCCTCAGACAGAACACTAAATAAATAAAAAAATTATAACTCTGCAGTGCTAAGAAATATTAAGGAAATGCTGGAAAGAGGAGTGAATTGCTGATGAATTTATACTACCACATTTAATATGTACGTTTTTAGGTTGAACTGACTTGGATCCTTCTTGAAAAGCTAATAGTCATTCTCCTTATCAAATTTCCCAGCTGTTACGGAACCCACAGGTTCCCTATCCTGAGCTAGTTGAAACCAGTCTATATCTTTCTACCCCTTCCAATACTATCATCACATATGTACTTATAGAGAGGATAAGGAAAAATAAATTATTCTGAATGGCTGAAATATAAGATTAAGTTCTTTAATATAAGTGCTATATAAACAGATACATTTATAACAAATCAAAATATTATCTATATAATAACAACATTTTCAACATTGACTGTTTTTTATACAGAATAAAGCAAAGTCATATGAAATTACAAGATCTATAAAGACAAATAAAATGCAGTGACTATGAGAAAAGTTATCATAAGCACTGGTTGACTGTTAAGATCTGAACAAGACTGTGTTTCAGAGTAGTGTTTCCTTACAGGAGAGGTAATCCATGAACCACAAGACTTTCACAACTTGGTTGCTAGAATTTGGATTCCATAGATAAAATTTATTCATCCACATTTCACTTTACACATTTAAATCACAGTCTACATTTCAATATATTACTAACTTCTCTGTCACTGTTGAATTTCTTGAAAGAATACATGAACTCTACATTTGGCTCAACTCGTCTACCTGTAATATTCATTATCAGTTCCTAAATGAATAATTGTGCAAGTGAGAAAGATAGAGGGGTATTGATGACAACAAAGCAAAGTTACAGCTCATCTTCATGTCTGTACTGGTCAGAAAAGTCCCTACTTTAAACATAATTTCCTCCTGAAGACTTGGTGTGAAAGGATAGTTCATCGATAAGGCTGCTTTTCCATGGGGCAGACCTGTTCTATATGCAGTACTGCAATAACATGAGATACAAATGGGTTAAATTTAGAAAAAGAGGGGTAAAATATGATTCTGATCACCACTACTCAGTAAGTAAATATTAGATACAAAATACATTGTTTTAACATATCATGTGTGCAGCAGTTTCTAAACTCTGTGATCCCCATAAAAAATTATATTCTTTCTATTTCTTCTTATTCTCCTGTTAGATACTCTCTTAACCTGTCCCATATTCATTAAGCTGAATCATTTCACAGTGTTTCACAAATAACTTCTATGAAAGAAAACTAGTGTAATGATCAATAAACTCATAAGTTATTTAATGATGTTGTTTCAACTGTAGAGGCTATATAGCACAGACTTAAATGGACAGATGGTATTACCTCTAAAAATTAAAACAAATCTTAATAAACTTGCATGAAAGCATATAAATATATTCTTTTGTATTCAGACCAATTTCCTTTTCTGCCAAACAAAACAAAAATATTGAAGCTACATTTCCTGCAACATTAGTAACTTCTACACAGCATCAGAACAACTCAGACTAAGAGTAAATAACATAATTACAAAATCTGACATTGCAATAAGAACACACAGTAATATATGTTCCATTTAATGTCACAGGAGCTGAGATTTTCATCATTATTATATAGGAGTATCACAAAAAGTTATTACAATCACAGTTCTTAACAGATATTTTATATGCTAAATGAAATGCCTTTCATCATTGGAGATGGGAAGGGGAGGCCATAACACTTCACTGTTGAAGGAGCCCCAACATCACGAATTTCCTATGACAGTATTAAAATAAATATGTCCATGTTGCATGTTGCTGATCCTGGCCTATAGAAATAATTCTTTCTGGCAGTATACAAAATTATGTGTTAATACTATGTCAAATTATTTGCGGCCAAAAATGAAAATGAAGGGTGCTTCACATGTTTACCAAAAATATATTAGAACTGTGGGAAAGGTTGGGATCAGTATATGATATGCGCATGAGTTATATTTGTTGGAATGCGTCAGTAATGAATGGGTATGGGGGTTCAACTTGTATAAAATAAAATTAGAAATGAAAACATTTTTAGTAGCAGAGGATGGATGAATAGTACATTCCTACCATTATTTATCAATAGGTCTAACAGTATTAACAGAGTTACCTTAAATATCAAACAGTTTGTTGTATATTCAAAGAATGCCTTCAAGTTGCCTTGCTTCTTCCTATTGTCCTTAATCAGTCACAGATGGACCTGATTAATCATTCAACAGTAATATAAAATCTTCCACCTATGACCAATGTATGAATGTCAATACATTTTTGTACAGCCACATTTTATCTTGAATGTTAACCAAAGTATGCCCCACAGTTGGAACATCGCCTGTTCTTCAGTGCAAGGCAGCAGAGAATTCCAATAGGGAAAAAGAAAATGGCACAGAATATGCCAAGACAAGTAAAATCATCTTCCAGAACTCCCACCTGCAATACAGAAAATTCTAAACAGTTACACCTGCTCTAAGCCAATTATGGTAGAGGTTTACAATATGGTGTCCAGCTAATTATGCCTCATTTCACCTTAGACATTTCTGAGATACAATATTCACTGAGAGATGGGAACATTAATTCAAGATTATTGACATTTATACACTAAAATACACTTCTATTGTTGACAAAATCATCTGGGCAGATAGTAAATAGATTCAGGTTGGAATAAAATGTTACTATACTGTAATGTTTCAAAGTACATATGTCTGTTTATGGTCACACTGTAAGGTTGTTCCAGTACATGTTATCTGTTTATACAAAACCACAGTATAATGAAACAAACCCACCCTGCATGCTGGACAAGCACCAACTATGATGATTTCTTGTGGATGAACTGTAATTGTTGTGGCACCATATGTTGGGGTATAACCTGTTTGTAAAGGAGCTGATGGCCCTTGGTATGGCTGATAACCAGGAGGCAATTGTCCAAGTGTACTGGCACTTTGTGAGAAACCTGAGACATACAGTAGAATAGCATATTGTAGGATATATTTTGTATTGTGTCAACACTTTAGAATAATAATTTCAGTTTTTTCTGGGACTCTATTTCTGTCGTGTCCAAAGCTCATGTACAAATATACTGGTCATGAGGCAAATTAAAATTGCATTAATGATAACTCAAACTGATATGCAGTAACCTCAAAGAGAGACATCTACTGCACTAGTATATTTGTAAGAACTGTATTGCTCATGTATCTTTGTATGTAACTTATTTACGACTCAATTTTATAGTTAGTACTTTACCTGGAGCTTGTGGAGAATAGGGAGGTGGTATTTCATAATTTGGCGGAAGTGCCATCCTTAATTTTTATTCTTCACTAGGTGTTCTTTGTTCTTAACTGAAAGTGAAAACACAACCTTTACCATGGGTTATTTTCGTTGAGGAAAATCAAAACCTGCTCCAAATTAATACAAACCCAAGTTCAACTACTAACGATATTTTTGTACAGACAGGAAGTTATAATCATATGATCCTATATGATTTGCTGCAATCACTGGTATACTGCGTTTGTCAGCATACTATTATCTTCAATGTTGGTAACGAGGTGTATGTTGGTAAACCTGACAAAGTTAGCTTGGAGAATGTTGTGCGTGTTCTTAGTTTCTTGGAAATGAACCGTTGTCTTAAATAATTAAATTTTATAATGAAAGTGTTTTTATTGCGGAGTGAATGTGAAGATGAAATGTGTTTTTTTTTAAATACAGGTAGTTTGTTCCTTATATGCGTAATCGACACATACTAGAATTACAGGAACACTAGTTTTTCTAGTTAAGCATAGTTCTAAGCAGGTTTCTGTTTTATGATGGCGGCTAAAGTGGCGTGTAAATTAATTTAAATAAAAATTTGCTGGCAGTGGACAGGGACTTGAAGTTGTAGGTAATGTTGGTGTCAGTTTCGGATATTTTCTTCCACTGTATTGTATGTTGAATCTATTATTCCTTTCACTTTAATATAAATCTTGTAATGCAACTTTGATCAACTTTGCAGGAAATTCAAGCGGGTGCAAAAACGGACATTTATGTGCTATCAAGAAGTAAATACTACAGGAAGACAGAAGTAAAAGCATTTATATCAGAATCATTTTATCCAGTTTTACCAAAATTTGTATTATGGGAAGCTGTTTTAAACTATTTTAACGTAACTCTAAGTAAGCATGAAAAACGTGTATAAAACCAAATACACCTTATGTGAAGTCATACAATACAAGAACTCCAATTTAATTGTGGTTTCAGTTATACGCAGTACACCCCGAGAGGTTTAATAAATATTACGATTTCGGTGAGTTACCACATCAGAGTCCACATAATTTTCCTACCAGGCTGATGAGTCAGGAAATAAATGTGCATGCATCTATTTCTTGAGTACTTTTTAAATTGCATTATGTTGGGTTTGGCTGTGCGGATTGTGGTAATTTGGGTTGTAACACTTCCTCTGTAACCTTGGTAATTACCAACAAGACTAGAATTGTCATAATCCATGGCTTTGCTTGCATGTGACATACATGACTTCGCCCAACTTAGAAAAAAAGTTTCGTTTGAAAATGTTTGAAACTCTTTTTTGTTTTATACAATTTATGCAGCAGGGGTTAGTCATGTTGTTGATGTATTTCAGTTTGGGATATTCCATTGTAGTCCACTGTTGGACTGAGTGTACTAAATCTAAAATTAAAACAAATATATTTAAATTTAGCCATGTATTTTATCACATGTCAGATTTTTGGTTTTCTGTCAAGCTTGAATAAAGATTTGGATAATTTTGTGCAACCTTATTATGGACTGACACGATATTCAAACAAAATGAAATGAAGAATATGCTGTGGGATTTGTTCTTTTGGTTTCTTTAACATTTACCCAGATTTGTTCTGGGGTCTAACTGGCCTCATCTCCAATTGGTACTGGGAAGTCTTTCCTGGAATGTGGCTGGAGAATAATGTTGTCCACTTACCTTTGTCTAATTTCAGAGTTAAGAAGTTTTACCTGCTTGCCCCCTGTGGAGCTTTATAAAATTTACCAACCCATTGAGTCAGTTTGCAAGACATTGCTGCTACTTGATGTTTACTCATTTTGAGTGTTAAGATCATTCATTGCTATTCATAAAATAATCTGGATTGTCTTAGTAAACAACATTTTTATTCCATATATTTGAGATTTGAATTTCAATAGCTTATGTAAAAAAATGACAGTGGAACCACAGTTCCGGAGAATCTGACGTAAATACGTCTTTGTATTTAAATTATAATTAGGCAATAAATACAATCCATCTTGTTATCTCTTCATAGTATGACAGAACACACAAACACAGCAGTAGGGTGAAGTGTGATGCGTCTTTATTTGTATAAATAAATGTTTGTAGAACCTAAACCATTTGTGATATGTAAAATCTGAAAACAGCTATGGTAAGCTCAAGAGATAATACATATTTCGTATGCAATATGTCCAGATCCATCTTTTATGGTTTTCGAGAGGCTGGCGCTTAACGTGATGAACAATAATAATAAATAGGAATCCCTTACCTCAAACTTTGTTCAATTGTAAGAGACCACGATGTCCACCCGCAATGACCAATTTAATCAAAACTAAAATGGAGAGTGTGGAGGGCAGTATCACAGATTTCTTAATAATTCTTATATAAGATAAGTAATTGTGATATTCTAAAACGTTTTTAACAGCACAATATTATCTACTCTACGACACACTTTTTCTACAAGCGATTCACAGCTCAGCTGTTTCCACAGTAACAAAAGTGGATTGTTGATGGCAGTAATGAAACAACAATGCCAAATAAAGAGATGACATAACAATTAGTTTCTTAGGTAAAGGAGTTTTGCCGAATGACCCTTCCGTATAGACGTATTTATGTCAAAAACTATCTGAAATGTTATAATAATACCTTATTGAGTTCATTTAGGCATTATACTGTTTTGTCATTTTATAAAGAAGGTTGTGATTATGGCAGCACATGTGTGTGCATGTTCACATTTAAAGAGTAAATGTAAGATACTATATTCTGGGTTGTAATGTCCTGTAATATGGTAAAAATTTACCAGTGTTTCAGAAGTCATTGCAATTTCCATCATGGGGGTAAACAATGAAGGCAGCTTGGACCTATGAAACATTAGTAAAACTTCTACCAGACTACATGGCACTACAACCCAGAAGACAGCCATCTTTTTACTTACCACCATGAAAACCTCAAATCCTAAAGTTGTTAAATCTAGTTCATTTATGAAGAATGTAACAAGAATATTAATATTGAAAGTTTTTTCCCTGTAGGTTGATGACACCTTGGCATCACAGACCACTTCACTTGCTGGTGATACTTGTACAAGTTTCCATATGAAGTCTGACAGTGATCACTCATAGAAGATTGTTTATCTGGTGAATATAAGGATGAAAGAGGATTCTTCAAGAAGGCTTTTGATAATGTTCAATGTTAAAATTCTTCTTGTTCAGAAAATTCATAAATAAAACGTAGTGGTGTTGACTTGGAAAGTTGCTAACCATATGAACTGTAAAGATAAATTCTTTGTTTCATGGGTGTAGTGTTCACAGATACTCCAATGAAACTTGTCATGTTTTTGTTCTTCTAGGAATGTTGTTGATTCTGAAAGTTCTGTAGAGTATTCAGATACAACTATTTCAAAGTCTGGAAAAGTGATTTAATTGAAAGTAGAAATGAAAAGACTACCTATGAGAGAGGAGCACTATAGTAAAAGTTTGAGAAATGCTGAAGTTTTCAACAAACAAGTAAAAAGGAACAAAGGTGCAAAGACAAGAAAACCTATGTTAGATGCTGAAGACATCTGTACTCCAAAGAGAAGTAAGACAGTGAATTTGACCTCCGCCAGATTTGTGTTCACAGAAGACTGTGCTTCCACGAAACCGAACAGACTCAGTAATTGTAAATGGAGGAAATCAGCTAATGTAATCAACACCAAAAATCAGTTTGGTCTTCTACGAGATTGTCAAGTGAAATTAGAAAGACTATCATCAGAAGTTTTGAGCAGAGCTTTGTCTGGAGAAAAGGTACTGAAAAATGCAAAAATGAGACCAGTGACAAGGATGCATTACAGGTATAATTGTGACAGTTCATCTTTTTTCCAGAAATCTGTAGGCAAAGATTGTGGCACTAAACAGGAGATCCAAGGAAGTTTGAGATTAAGTGAAGAAGGTGGAGACTGTAATGCGCAAAATTGTGATAATGCTTGCAAAAGTGATAAGATCGACTCATGGGGAAATGTGAGATGCCCCTTGGAAGGATCTTGTGATTTTAGCGAATCTGAGGAAGATTGGTGTGGCTGGTGGGTACGTGTTGATTCTCTTCATGATTTCTACAACGCTGACCTTTACACTATATCAGATGGAGTGACAGAATCTCGCATCATCATTTGGGATAATGCCTTTAAAGCAGAAGTGACTTCTAACAACAATTCAGTTCAAATACCTAAGCAGATAGGATGTGTGAATAAAGAAATACAAGAGGATACTGAAGAAGAGTGGGCAGGTTGGAATGTGCTGTATGTAAAGAGAAACATATCCAACATGAGTTCTGTCAATTTTTCAGAAGAGGAAACAGATGTACAGTGAATGGTTCATTTTCCAAAAATCATACATTCAAATCTCGTTAGGATAACAGTTTTTCTACAGGTCAGTTTATTTATCCCAGGATCTTGTGTGAAGTTTTTCATAATATTTTTGTTCAGTCCTTTGATTATTAACATTTGTTTCAATGCTGGGGGGGGGGGGGGGGGGGGAAAAAACACACTTACATTTTAGTTGAACTTTGTTAATTTTGGTCCCAGCATATCAGCCATTTAAGCACAATCACTATCTTTGATATACAGTTTTAAATTGATAATAATTTCACATTGCTGGATTTCCTTTGCATTGTTATAGTTGGCTTTCTTGTTTCATAACTGGAAGATCAAAGTGTGTATAATTAGATTGATTTCACCAAATACCTGTGTTTAGTGTCAAAGAACCAAAGAAATGTAAATGGATATCCATGCTTATCAGAAGGTTAATGGTGGATAGCTAGATATTTTTGAAGATTTTCGTCTTCTGGGTTGTTGCGCTATGTAGTCTGGTCGATGTTAACCAACGTTTCAGAGGTCATACTGCCTCCGTCATCAGGGCGATGAATTCAACAACCCAGAAGACGAAAATCTTCATACTCACCGCTGTGAGAACCTCAAGTTTTATCTGATTTCCTTGAGTTAACTTACGTTGTATGTTGTAACAAGGCGTTGTTACTGATATTCTTTTCTTCATACTTGAACTGAAAGTTTTGTCTCAGGGCTTGGTTGCTGTTAGTCTGTTCTGTTGTGCAGTACTGTAGAATTTGAAAACATCCAGAAAGTCTTCTGTGTCCTTGTGGTCTGTGATCATATATTAACAAAAACTGGACAGAGAATTTAGTACAAAAAGAATTGCTTTTTATGAATTCAAGCAAGTGATAGAATTCATACCAGAATTATTTTTAAATAAATTCTGATTTTGTTGTTGGAAATCTTATATATTCCATGCTTTAAACATGTTTTAAATGTGTATCAGATTGTAAATCATAAATTACTCCAGTGCCTAAGTATTGCAGCATGAGAGTAATGAGGTGATGCTTCATACATTATCAAACTGGACTTTATACCATGGCTGCTTTATCCCCTACATGGGTGAACCAAAAAGCTATTCTGAATGTGATTGGAGAAACTTTCATCTTTGAATTGAATGATAATTTGTAGCCATTCTCATGTCTGATGAAGCTAATATAATTTCTCTTTGCATATAATTAGCTTATTGGCCAGATTCTGTCAAAAAATTAAATCCGTGGCGTAACAGCTCCAGAGAGCTAAAGCCGACTAACTTGACTGCTGGCCTCACGTCCACATGCCTAAGCAGAGGTGAACGATCATCCAACCAGATATAGGGTGACATGTGGTCAGCACGACGAACCCCCAGCCATTGCTAGCTTTCCTGACTGGATTACGCTACTCATTGTAGCTCCCCAATTTCCTCACGATGCTGGGTTGGCACCGGTCCCATACACTGGTCGAAAGCTCATGAGAAAATTTCTTCTCCCCCGAGACCCGAACCAGCGCGCATTCCGTATCGCCTGTCCGATGCATGATGCCTCAGACCGCGCGGCTACGGCCCGGGACACCAGATTCTGTCAGACCAGTTAATCATGTCTTACTTCTTTTCATTTTTCCTTTCTGTTCTTTTCATCCCTGCTCTTTTCTTCCTTTCTATACTTTAAATGTGTTTTATATATACCTCATTTTAATATGCTAAGTGTGATAAGGGATAGTCACTTTCACTGACGTTTTCTTGTTTAAATGCAGCAGTGAGTTAAATTGTAATTTATACTTATGAATGGGGAAATAAAATTGCCATCATAGTTTTAAAGGAGCACTTATTTGTCATATAGAATAGTTATGAGTTCTTGTGCATTAGTTTTCCATTACCACTTTGACTTAATTTGACTGCCTAAGGCCATCTGTCTTTGGGTGATGCCGTTTGAAAGTCACCAGATGAATGTCAAATGGTTTACTTTTTGAACAACATATGTCATATGCCTAGATTGAATGTTTATTATGATGTTGGGATATTTGAAACTTTCAGTTAATGTATTTTAGGTGCATTCAGTGGACAAAGTAAAATATGCCATTGAATTCCACCATATAGCTTAGTTATGACCTGGTTGTTCCACCCCAGTTCATTCTTCCACATGTTGTTATAGACCTTAAATCAGCCATACTTATTGCTCCTAATTTACTTCTTTCGCCATTTATCACTAGCTTTTTTCTGCTGGGCTCATACAAAACAATTTTGTCTGTTTTGTATGGGTGTGAAACTTGGTCTCTCACTCTGAGAGAGGAACACAGATTGAAGGTATTTGAGAATAAGGTGTTTGGGAGGATATTTGGAACTAGGAGAGAAAATGATGGGGTGTGGAGAAAACTGAATAATGATGAGCTTAAAAATTTGTACTCCCCCAGTATTGCCAGGGTGATTAAGTCAAGAAGAATGAGATGGGTGGGGCATGTGGAGTGCATAGATGGGGCAAGAGGTGTGCACTTGGTATTGGTTGGGAACCTGAGGGGAAGAGACCGCTGTGGAGACCTAGACATAGATGGGAGGATAATCTCAAGCAGGATGTATGGGAGATAGCAGTTGAAGGAGACTGGATTTTGTTAACCCAGGACAGGGTCTGTTGGAGGGCCTTGGTTAATTTAGTAATGAACCTTTGGGTTCCATAAACCATGTAGTTAGTTAGCTGTGCACATACCTGGCCACAGATTGTCAATATTGACATGTTTTGCATAATTTTCTTGTGTCCCACAGGGAAGTTCCTGCTATATTGCTTTAATGTTGGCTACAGTTGTTTTCTCCAACATCCCTTATGATTTATCCTTCAGAATTATGTCATATCTCATATGATAATATGTAAACTTAGTAGTTGATAAAGGGTCATAAAGAAACTGAAGAACTGACAGTCCAGTATGATCTGAAGCTTTCATGGTGATTAAGTAAAATAAATTCTTCTTGGGCTACCAGCTGTGTAAGGTTGTTTAATGAAGCAATTTATTATACAACAGTCCAGTGCCTTTCATTTAACATTATTACTTTTTGTAGCAATATTAAGGCAAGAATTAATTAGTTAGTAAGTAATAGTCTAATGGGAAGTGTTCATATAAATGTGAATGTTAGAATTTGTATAAAAATTGTAAGGAACTAATATACTGAATTCTCTTGTGCTCATTATATCTCTGCAAGTAGTCTACTTCTTGTAATTTTTCTCAGATTGTGACGAAGAAGTTGAGTGTCAGTTTTACTACTAAGTAAGGAATTTATATACTGATTAGTTGTGGAGAATGTTGGCACAGCTTTTGTTCCTATTTATATTATTTTTTTAAAAAAAATTATTTTTAGCTTAGTGTGCATTAATTAAGAACACACAAAATTCAGGAAATGCTTGCCATCATTCACTTCCAAATATTTGTCCTACCATTTCCTATCCAAAAATGAAAATAGTGAAGTATATACAACTGTAATTTTACTTTATGCTTTGTATAGGTGTCACTTAATCTCATGTTAAGAGAAAAGCATAGACAGAATGGCTGAGAATAGGATGCTGAGGAGAGTAAGTAATAAGTATGGTGTGTGTGTAGAAAACATTAATTGATTTTTTGAAGTTATTTAATATTTATTAGTATAATTATGCAATTTTTCATGTCAAAATTGTAGTTCATTAGTGTTCCATTTTTCAATGTAATAATATGTGTGTCCAAAGTTTGCATAAACATAGATTTGTCTCACATCAGAATCTTTTCTCATTCATTTTCTGTAGCTATTCAATGGTATATTGTGTTCTACGGAAGATTATTACAAATAATGATCAGCTAATGTACAGGGTTATACTGTGCTAGTGGTTTTGGTATTGTTAAGTGTTAAAGGAATAATGTTTCTGTTACAGTGTAGAACATTAGTTTCATTTGAGTATGGAATTTTAAAGTGATAAATGTGGGAAAGGTAAATCATGGGTGTAAACATATTAGAAATTAACTTCTTCCCTAACTTGACAATATATATTCTTTTTATCATGATGAAGAACAAAAATTATACATAATGAAAAACTAGCAACATTGCCACAAAATGTAAATAAGGCACGGCTTTGTTTCGGCCTTCTGTTTCAACTGTTGTGTATGATTGTGGAACTGTTTTAAGAATGTCTGTTAAAATAGTGTTTTGTTTGAGCTATTATTGTGTTACTTATTTCAATTATCAAGTTGTGCTACTGTTCATACTGTATTTGTTTTCAGTTCATTAGCTGTTTGCTCATGACACAGTGATCAATAAAATTTTGATTTCTTTTTATGCAGTATTTGTAGGTCACATTGTGATTTGTGCGTTGTAGAATATGTTTTGTAAGTTTTTGCGTTACTTTTAAGTTTAGTCAGACCCTTATCCTTTGTCAGAGGATTTTCCAGCATCATATTAGATAATTAGTACAGCTGCTGTAGCTACATATCAGCTTTGAACTGGCATTCAAACAGTGTTTCTAAAGCTTCTCATATGTGGAATGATAAAGCTTGAAATGTCATGGAACAATAAAAATGTACTCCAGTTAAATAATTTCCATTTTCTTTGTTATCTCCCATGCAATCCAGTTTATAGTTCTTCTACTGATGTGTTGTTGATTAGTTTTACTACATGATTTTACACTACTATTTCATTGTGCTTCACAGTAGACATCAGTAGGGCATGTGACATGACTTGGTAGGGGTACACCATGAAACAAAAACAAAGGAGATGGTGTCTTCTGGGTTGTGCCATGCAGTCTGGTAGAAGTTTACCGACGTTTCAGAGGTCCTTGCTGCCTCGATTATCAGGCCGATGAGTGCATAGGATTATTTTCATGAAATACATCAAAGTAATGAAATGATATTGAGCATTTATTTTCCCTCCTCACCAAAGCGATGTTTTAAATCAAACCAAAGTAAATTGCTGAAGGATAGAAGTGACAAAAGTAATAGCTGCATATTGAATTTCTTTTTCGAAAGCACTCCAAACAGTTGATCTAAGGAAAAAGGTGTCTTTCTTCCATAATTTCTACCTCGCATCCATGGAATATCCCTTATAATTTAATACAAATTTAATAGATCCTCAGGATGTCTTGAATTTGCATATGTGAATAGCCACTCATAATTTTTATTTGTATTATACTATCATAATGCTAGGTTCTGATTTCCGTACCGACATTAACTGCATATTTAACTTGCAGCAATATGCCTCGGGTAGAGTCTTGTTAATTTTTTTAAATTCACTTGATACATTAATTTTTAAAAGAAACGGAAAGGAAGACAGTGGCCAATCCCGGTATGCTCCGATACAGTGCCAGTCATTCGAGTCCTAACCTGTTCATAAATAGGATTTAGAAAGACTTCGACGATGGAATAAAATCCCAGTTTGATACTAATATGCACAGATTGAAGTTAATTGTTATTGACGATGTAAACTGAAATGTTCTCCACAAACCTGAATTTTAGTAACATGGTTGTTTCCAAGATCTTCACAGTATAATTTTTTATTTCATGTCCGTATTTTAAGTTGATTTAAATTTGGCAACATTGTTTACGTTTGGCCGCTTTGACCCTATTTCCGGGAATTCTTTTGGGGGTGACATCAATTTGTGGAATAGCAATAACAAGGCGTTAACAGGGAGGATGTAATCTAAATTGAAGAGCTTTGATCATATGAACCAATCAGACACAACAATCTGACGTCATTCATGTCTGGGGATGAGTAGTTTTGAAAACAAGTCGTGTGGTGTTGTGATCCGGTGTGATATTTTAATAGAATTTGCAGAAGATGGACTCATTGAGAGAACAAGTGATGATAAATCAATTCGTATTAGCTGCAGGTTGTGCAAGAGAGCAGGCGAAACAATTGCTACAAGCCGCACACTGGCAGTTCGAGGTGAGATATTTGTAAACAAATGTGATTTCGTAGACGAAAATGGCTGCTGATGTGTAAGCCTAATCACTAGTTAAGGTTGATGGCTTGGCGTGGTCAAGGGCTTGAAGGTCAGTCTTTGAATAAAGCGCTCTGAAACAGTTTACTGCCCTCTTGTGGCATTTATATTTTATGTAATGATGATTCTTATTTTAAACATAGTAATTGGCATGTGCATGTATGCCCTACTTCCACAGTAAATAAACGTTTCAAATGGATACAATCCAGCAGATTAAATTTGTTGTATTGTGATATATAAACATTACTTAGGAAACAGCTCTTATCAATGGGGCAAAAAAAGTCAGTACTGGTCTCATAACTAATTCTACAGAAAGTCAGTGTTTGCTCCATACATATGAATGCTGTCTTCTGGGTTGTGCCATGTAGTCTGGTAGAAGTTTACTGGCGTTTCAGAGTTCCTTGCAGTGACTTATCACCCTGATGATGGAAGCAGCAAGGACCTCTGAAACGCTGGTGAACTTGTACCAAACTACATGGTGCAACAACCCATAAGACAGCCATCTTCAGACTCACTGCTGTGATAACCTCAAATCATACTTTGATTATTTTTTAATCTTTCAGTAATACATTCATGATTTTTTACAGTGTCATTCCTTCATTTATCTTCTCTTAGATAAAACCGCATATTAAAAGGTAAAATGTATTTCAATTTAAAAAAATCCAGTTTACTTTTTATGGTTGGATTAAAATATTACATGTCATTGACATGCATCATGATTACAGAGACATTGTGAACATTGTACAAAGGTGATGCTCAGTTTTGTATGTGTTGTACAGATTTCAGATGCCTGTGCCATGTAATAAATAAATTTGTCTTCATAATCTGGTCAAGGTCATTTTCTAGACACTTTAGATATGTGGCTTTTGCGGTTGTGTTATGTGCTTAGTGTGTATGTGAGGAAGAGAGAGCTAGCTGGAGAGGGGTTTTGGTAGGGGACACATAATGCCATCTCTTAGCATTGAAACTAGTTTATGATCTTCATTACAGTAATATTGTAAGAAGTTCCTGCCATCTTGACATCTGAAATAGGAGTTACAGGTCATGTGATTTGGCTTGGAAACGAGGCCTGTAAGTCATGTTGTTACCAACATTTTATATGAAGAATGCTTGCATAATCCTGAGTTCTGTGTAGCGAGCAAAGAAAATCCGAACTTTGCTGCAAAGTTATGAATCTAACCACGATTTTTAGTACTTTTCCTCTACTTGTACAGACGATTGCAGCAATAAAAGTCGTTCTAATTTAGCCAAGTAAAGCATGGTGTTGAGTGGTGCATACTTTGTCAGTTTGTGAAGTCCTGTTAATGGCGTATTTGAACCCAGGGTTATAGTCCCGAAAATAACAAAGCACAACAGTTTTGTTGTGTGCCTGACTTTTACCCAACTTATTTTTTATAACTTTATAGAGGATCCTACTCAGTTTTTCATACTTTAGAGTGGGAGGGTTGCCCCATCCTACCACACCCTTCACTGTGGACCGCAGTGGTTCTACTGCAGTCCCGGTTGAACCGTTGTATTGTGACGACTTCTAGCTCAGTGATTTTTTTTAGCGAAAACATTCAAATCATACACATATTATCATAACACAGTAGGGCGTAATTTCTCAGTAAGTTGAGTTAACCTCTCAGCGTTGACTTATACGACCAAAGACCACGTTAAATTGTAGTTTTTGTCATTCGGATAAAAGTTAAAAAACTATATTGTGTGAGTTTGCTGGAACACCACTTCCCTTATATGCGAATGCAATGCCACCCGAGAGTTAAAGACCGTAGAAGCTACGGCGAAGCTTATAAGCGGGCGATTAGCATTCCAGTTTTGTGTTGAGGAGGCCTCGATTTCGTTTATTGGTTCAGAGGCAGGTTGTCTCATTGACGTTTCTCGTTGTTTCCCACATTCCATTCAATTCTGAAATAGTATATGAAAATTGGTCACGACCTCTTCTTTACACGTCATTCTGAAATGAGCTTCCAACCGAAGGTATGTAATGTATGCATTTGAGAAAGCGTCGTGAACACGAAGTGCAACATGGCTGTGAAGAGAATTCTAATGCAAGCAAACGTGAATGTGGAGCCGCTGTTGGATAACAGGTGCAGAGGTGTTTGTGTAAACAACATCACGTAGAAGCGAGCATGCCCTTATCAATACCTGCCGACAGCTGCAGTCAGGATCATTTCCAACCCGGATTTGTTGTTATTTTATGACCTAATTTAGGCTATTGAATGTATATATGGAAAGGAACACGGTCTGTAACTCAGAGAACAATGTACTGAGGAGTTATTTGGACCTGGAGAGATTAAAGTGAAGGAGAAGGTTACATAATCAACAGCTTTTACAGTTTTATGCAGGCGATTAAGCCAGGGCGATAAAACAAATACATGGTAATTTTTGTTGGAAGCGGTCGCTTCCGAGACGAAGGCGCAGATGGGACGATACTACTGAAATCGAGTATCCGTAAATTGGTTTTATAGGGGTGAACTTGGATTTAAAAACTACAGGGGTGTACCCACTGGAAGGCATTGACAAACACATGAATTTATTTGATAAGCTGAACAACTATACAGCTGCGCGAGGAAGACTACTGCAAGGAGTATGGTTATGGGTAATGACTTCAGAAATTCAAAGAGAAGCGCAAAGTCGAATCTGAATTGTTCTGCTTTTCATGCCTGTGTTTGCATGCCTGCTTTCCACCAAGGAAACAAGTTCGTATAAACTGCCGTCCACATGTGTTCGGTATTTGCACTCAGTGGATGGATGCATAACGGGAATATGATATTTGAGTGCATTGTTTTATTTTCCTCGCCACCAAATGGATTTAGATTGAATTCTGTGTGAGCGATTTTAATTTTTGTCTGTATAAGAGCATCAAACCCCGTAAATATCTCATTTGGGAAGTGTATTTAATTGTACAGCTGGGATCTTAACCTTGGTAGGAAGCTCCATTGCAAGATTGCGAAACGTATGTTGCCAGCTTCTGCGATGGCTTGGCGATAAGAATTCTGTTCTTCCTTTCACCGAAATGCAATATGATTATGTTTTAAATGTTCTTATACTGTGGGAACATTCCTGTAACTCCTGCTGGGTTGACTAAAGTAACCTGTGTTTCTGCCGTGTAAAATACATGTCTGTATGGTCCTCCGGTTATTCTGATTATTATGTTTAACATTTAACGTTCAAGTAAAGTATGTATAGAAATTGGTCATTGTATTGTATATAATTAATAGTTTCTGGCTAGAATCAGCAGATGGAAAGTATGCATCGTGTTACACCTGCGATATTTTGCTTGGATGTTGGGTTTCATCAGTATTTTCCGTGGCCAAATACAGTAATGCACGGGATTGTTTGGTTTAACTTTGTTCGATTCCGCTTCTTCGACACGTGTAATAGTGACTCTTACATACCCACACTGCAGTTTAGTTGTAGTCAGTAGTTTGCCGACAACGATAATTGTTGAGGGTTTCTCTTTTGTAGGATACACGTGTATGACTGATGAACTGAACCGACATTTGTTAACGCCTGCCTGTTATATTAATGAGACGTTTAAACGTGTTTTGCTGCTCTGTATACCCGACGAAACAAAAGAGAAATGCAGTGTGATTAGTTTCCCAGTTTTTTTTATAAACTTTAAGAAAGACTAACAGGAGCCTTGCGTTTTGCAAAATAACAAAGTACGTATTTGGGAAGAGTGGTGATGGGCTCTACAACCAAAAACATAGCCATCTTATGCCCAAACTTATGGCGATATACCTCTGGTACACTGAAATAAGCTCTGGACGCTACAAGCTCTACCACTGCTCACTTAGCGTTTCCAATTCAGATGATAAGGTTATAACAGTACTGCATTTTCCTGCTCGATCTCGGGATTGTTACACGCAGACAGGGATTATAAAATCGCGACGAATGAGAGGTGGGGGATGATCTTGACTTATTTCGAGGTACCACCTGACGTTCTAGCAACATAACAGGCCCGAGACATTTTGTTTCCATGGGCAGTTATTCTATTCGGGAATTGGTTGACAGAGTCTTGGTTTGTGTAACGATGCTTTTTTTTCTGCATGGTTGATGTATCAACGCTTGGTAGGGTTGTATATGAATTAGAGACGGTTTGCGAAGAGTCATGGTCGTTTAAGCATTTTTCTGCAAGGACGGCGAAAAATAACGAAGACAGAATATCTGGTCCCCAGGCCGAGAAAGTTGCCCGTTCGAAACTTGGGCCGGTTACCTGCCATTCTGTCAGGTACTTCCAGTCTCTCCATGTGAATACCAGGGTAATATTTTTCTTGTAGGCCTGTAGCACGACCATTTCCTTCCAAATCGTGACCTACATACCGTTCATATGTCATTCTGTATTTATTGGTTTTAAATAATCGAAGACTCAGTCGTTCATTACGAATGCGTGACGATTTACGTACATTTCCCTATACGTTTGTCATAACGTTGACGGCAGACCTTATACTTACATTGCAGATAGGAATATTTCGGAGAGCATGCACATCGGTGGAAAGGCACTCTAGAACTGAAGGTTGCATATGTCAGTTTTTATTAAGCCTTTCAACAAAATTGGGAAGTTGTGTACGACTTTTAGATTTAAAATTTTAGTTCTGTATTAATTTATTTCAGAAACAAATCTGTTTCTTCCTTGTTTCCTTACAAAAATGTTTCAAATAGTTTGATTCTATTAATTTTCGCACGACGAACGTTTTCACAGAAACTTCACATTATGAAACATGCCGAACGTGTCAGGATTTCATTTTCATAATTTATATTAATGTAATTTAGATGAAACTATTGTTTGTTGGACTTGTGAGTTTGATTCAACAGTTTGACGGTGTTCTTGCGTCTTATCTTTATTATGTGATGATATTTCTGCTTTTCGGAGCATGTGAAAGTCACATGGGGCCAAATCAAACGAGTAGTATGGGCTCTCCGGTTCTGTGTTCATATTAGCTTTGCGAAAACGCACGTGAACCCTAACGAAATGTTGTTTCTGTTACAGACTGCCCTAAGTATATTTTTTCAAGAAGCCGCCATTTCCAGTTCCCCTCAAGGTCCAGGAACTCATTTTGGTCAGGTAAGTTAAATTGTACGTGCTCCCATTGATTTGTATTATATGAGTTAATTTGTTTTGCCACTGATGATGACTTCTTGAGGTCGAAACGAGTTTGGCATTAATTGTTCTTCAAAGTGTAAACATTTTTGTTTGTATGCATGATTTATATTCGAATACACTACACGGTATGTAAGGTTTTAAGATGTAATTGAAGATAAAATGTATAATTATCCTACATATTTATATTTCTTTGAATATTGTATTATTGTGTAGTATATTATATTTTACTGCAACAGTGCCTGTTTTAAACAGAACCGTTTCTTACCTTGTGAATTCCAAGTCCTCCAGGCCGTATTTGGACTAAACTTCGAGCAGGCACAAACACACTTGTTGTTACTGTGTAAAGTAATATTCAGACTTTCTTCTTTGGAAGAAATAATGCAATCTCGAAAAGCCTTCACGTACATAGGATTTGTGATTGGATGTCTTAGCCATGGTAATCTGACAACGTTGGTTTCATGGAATTAAGATATTTTCTTGCAATAAATAATAAAATTTAGAATTTAGAAAAATATTAAATTGCACTCACAGTGGGGTAAAACAGACGACATTGAAGTGCTGCTGTCACCATAAGAGGAGAAAGACATTTATTCGGTGGTGCTACGTTTATGAGACTACAAATACGGGTTCCCTTATATGGGAGTTTCGTTGAAAAACAATTTATAGCGACTCTATTTACAAATGTAAATGTGTCTGTTTCGTTGAAGTTTGGTATGAAATTCTGCAGTGTAGCATGCCGGATGTTGCTTCTGTCTCTTGATTTGAATTCGTTGTCACTTTTATGTGCAGAAATCTCATTGAACAAAGAGGAATTAGTTCCGCAAGGTCGCCTATAAAAGGTGTGATGAAACTGCCTTCGTCGAGTAGACAGAGTGTCGATTCTCGTACCTTCTGTTTCAGTTTTTATAT